GGGGGGGGGGGGGGGGGGGGGGGGGGGTGGAAAACCTGCTTCGTCATCTAGGAACATAACAATTCAACGTCTGGCTTTGCCCCATACTTTATAATTTATAATGGGTGAATATTCGATTTAATCGCACTACCTTAGAATTACAAAGTTCTATCTGACAATTTCTCTGTTTTGAGTTACAAAGACCATGCGGTCAAAAACTAAATGTTCTATCTGCTCTATCAAATTCGTAAGATTATTCGGAGTCGTGCGTTATAAAGAGATTCAAATAATTGCATTTGAAAAAGCTTGACATGTTGTGAAGTTCAAATGTTTTGACGCTGTCTGTGATGAAAAGAAGTAGCAAAACACATCAGATCATCCATCTACCACCAGACCCACTTGTATAGGTTTAAACCGACGGCGTTTTCAGCACTGCACCATTATATTTAAGAGGTTTAACTAACTTTCTGGTAACATACAATCAAAATTAACAACAAAAAGTAACTTCCCATCAACCTACGATGACCAATTTAAAATCGAAGGCATGAAAGTAGCTTTCCAGCAACATACAATATAATACAACGTCAAGAAAGTAACTTCCCATTAACCATACGATCAAAATCAAGAAAGTGGACTTCTGCACTGCACCGACCAAGCTTGGACCCAAGACGACACAAGAAAGTGCGGCGGTACCCAAACAAACGGCCACAATGGACTTTATCTTTGCCCTGTCCCCCGGCAGTCCACTTGAAGAGTTCCCTAGCAGAACTCTCATCATCGCACGAGCGCTGAAGCCTATCGACCCAACAGCTTCCTCCTTCCTACAAAACTCACTCGTCTTTGCTGAGACCATTCGTCCAACAATAGCGACCCACACATGCCCATGCCTTCAAAACGCGAATCCGGACCAACTGGACACCACACACGACTAGGAACATGTCACGGTTTCGCCTCTTAGTTCCGCTGTCGAGCAAGGCCGCGCGAAGTGCAATCTTTAAGAGCAAATACTCTGGCAGCACCGACGAGACCTGAACCCGAGGCCGAGCGCCAACTGAGAAGACGGTGGTCGGGTAGAGGGGA